ATAGCCTATAGTCTTCTTATAAGCCTTGTAAAACTCTACCGCTTCACAATAATAAGTATAGTTGGTCTCATGACTCTTACGTTATGTTTTACCACTACTTGAGCTTAACTCAAGACCCTACGCTATTTCCTATTCGTAGGTGCCTCAAGACGACATTTCTTGACACAAACGCAACTTTAGTTTTCTCCGTGAAATTGACCTATGTTGCTGCCATTACCCACATTAACTGTAATATTAAAATGGAATGCTTAATTATTTTGTCTAAACCACTAAACTATAATAAGAAAAAAACGTAGGTTAAATAAGGATAGCGAAAGATAGAGTTTTAGTTTAGGAATTAAAACTTAATCCGCCATATTGAAGCCACGTGAGGCTTTGAAATGTGCTCTATAAATCTGTCCAATTAGAGGAGAAAAATGCTCTCGACCGTTTTCAACATGTACCGTAGGTAACGTAAAAAGTTTTTTTTTTAATAACACACAGAATAAGTAGCTTTAAATAAATTTTATTGTGAGTGACATAGCCTTGATACTCTTTATAAAATTTACCGTTCAGCACAATGCCTAAACTTATATCTGTTTAGATGTTCAATGCAAAATACGATGATCATCATCAGCTTATATGTGCCCACTGCTGTGCAAAGACCTCTTCTCACACGGAGAAGGTTTGAGCATTAATCACCACGATTGCTCAAGGCGGATTGGCGATTTCAAACTTATAATTAGAAATTATAAGTCCAGGTTTCCTTACCATGATTTCTTTCACCGTATGTCAGTGGTGTCTAAATAATCATAGAAAGTACATATAACTCGGAAAAACTCACATTGGTACTTGCCAGGTTTCGAACCCGCACCCTCATGCATGAGAAACGGGTGCCTTAACCTCCTGGCCATCCCGACGACAAAACTATAGCCAAAGTCTACTAATTACATTCTTTACACTTAAATAGTTTGCACCGTTGTTCCATTTAAGTACAGGCACACAAATGTGAAAAGCTTTCTACATCTATTTATAGCAAATCGATTTAATTGGATAACAGACACCACTAGCAACACCGGAATGTATAAATACAATCGAGGTCGATTTAACATTTTGATCACACCTTTAAATAGTTTTTAATATTTTGCGATATAGTTAAAATTAAAACGAAGTCTTTTGTCTATTAAAACTCTTAAGGTACAGGTAAAAAATAAAACAAAACATTTTTAAATTACGAATTTACACTTATCATTTTGAATGTATATTAAAAAAAATGTGACGTAATAATCGAGTTCTTTTTATCCGATATTTTGACTTTATCCGATTATTTTTACTGAAAAATTATGAAAAGAAATTGTTAAACTTTTAAGTAACGCTCCGTGTAAGTTGTTTCATAAAAAGTTAGATCCTTCAGTTGTATCAAATAACAAGAATATTATTTTTAGTTAGTTTTAATCATTTTTTGCTATTTTACAATATAAAACGTATTGTAACCATGTTTAAAATATAATTAATTGAAGGAAAAAACTTGAGCTTTTTATAAAATTGATTATTTTACAAAGCGATTAATTGTTTAAGTTATAATTATAAACTTACACCTTTGGCTATGGACCAAGTCATCGGTTTGTGGGTCTAATGGGCGAAAGGCTTAAGTATACCCGCTATTTCTACAATGCATGCCATCACATCCCGAAGCTGTGATCACAGCGATGTCTCCTAGTAATTTTAATTTAGTCTTTAGTCCCAAATTACATTTTTTTTAATTTCTCTGTTTAATATAAATTATTTTACACATTCTATATAGTACTCAATTACGTCACTCAACTTCCTCAGTAGGGAATAAAAAATATAATTTAAAAATCTATTCAAACTTTTTTATCGTTCATAAGGAAATAATAATGAAAAAAATTAAAACTGTCAACGTTCTTGAATCCGACATACGAATCGAATTAAGAGCTGAGGACAGGTATATTGTGTATATCACCTAATATTATGAAATTCAACTATTTTATTAATGCCACTGTCATAAAGTTGTGTCGACATTGTGAAGTCCCACGCTACCACGCCGTAGACGCCACGTCAGTTTTAACAGCACGTATCTATTAAATTAAATGTTTCTGTGACTGTGACGCACCGGATATAATATTAAAGACTTATTTCAAACTATGTATCATTATATTATAATGTTCTATAGAATTTTATCCTCGTCTGAGTTATTAAAAGTCCATAGGTATGTTTGATGTCACTACGACTGTCGCGCTGGCCCGGAGGTGGTTGTGAGTGCTTTGAAATATGACAAATACAATTGCGAATTTCCATCACACTACTGGCGTGGAAAAGTGGTAAAGGAAAGTGTCGCGATGAAACTTTGACTAATTTATTAATTTAATGCTCAAACCTTCTTTCTGATGACAAGATAATAATATGTGTTTAATTTTTTATCTAGTCTTTCGATAATAAAATTATTTACTGTCTTCAGTACGTGATTAAAGTCTTTAAATTTAAATGGGTGGGTAATCAAACCGATGGGTCTAGGTAATGATCTCTGAAATATATAATAGAAATTAGTGACCAGCCCTTGCTTCGCACGGACCTCCAAGGCTCTCTCGCTAAATGACGAAAGGGCATACCCCAAATTTGCCTTCTTTTTTTCTAATGTTTGGTTTTCTCATAACCTTTTTTTTAACAATTTTGGGGCACACTCCTTGTTTTCATCAAACACTGGGGAAAAGTATGGTGTTTACTTTATAGCATACTACTTACGTATTTGTCATATCACAAATTATTTTCTAGTCTTCGACGAGATGCAACCTTTCGAGTAAAGCAATGTGTTTGGTTGCCTTATCAATGACGAGAATAATATCTCCATAAGAATTTTGATATCTCCTTAATGGTAGGGGTCTGTCTCCCACAAAAGGCTAGCTTTTATCAAGTTTTAGAAATACTTTTAACATAGAGTATATTAATTGTTACCGTCTTTTCCAATGATATTTGGAATTATTTTTTATAAATATCAGTTTTATATTATTTTAGGTAGCTAACCAGTACTGTAACTATTTTGTATAATAAAATAATATTATTATTATTATTTTATTAAAACATATTATTTCTCATTTATTTATAATTGTTACGATAGAGATGGAGGAAAGGGTTGATAATATTTTTCTTTAATTATTTCTGTATCCTCTTTGGTGAGCTTTCTCAACAGAATAAACTTTGTCATATCTTTTGCTGTAACATACACAACTTATATTTTATGGCAATAAAGTTACATAAGCTAAAAGTTTATTTTAATAAAAAAACATTGTAAAATAAAATTGCATTAAAACTAAATCAGACCACGGCTTCGATGTTCATCGGACGAACGATGTAAATTAAGATCAATTATCTATATTAAATTAGAATAAAAATACTTAGTTCTTAATGGACAAACACCTCGACAAAACAATGGGCAAACATGACTTAATACCGATGGCTCAGCATTGCTGTTGTCGGCTTTGTAGACTGTGGTCCTTTATAAATATGCAAATAACTCACGAAAAGGATTAAAATCCGACGTTTGTTACTTAGGAACAATTTAAAAGTGCTGCATTCAAATATAATGTTTAACATAGCTCTGTGATCATTATCGAACTACTTTATTTTTGAGTACTTTTTTCTTAGTAGATTTGAATGCAAGATTGTCTTTAAGTTGTGACCTTAAAGCTTATTCTTTTTCTTTTTCATAGGTATTTTGTCAAAAACAGTAAGACAGGTTTGCCTTTCATAATTTTGAATCATTAATGAAAATGGTTATTTGAACTTAATTTATTTTTTTTCCTACGCAGTATAGTGTTACAAAAAGTACAGAATCATTAACATTGGTATTTAAAAAAAAAGGTTAAGTTTGAAGTTATTAATTTTCTAATTATCACATCGACTTTTTTCATATTCTCGTTCAACTTGCACTAATTCCATTTATAAAGGGAACGTTTATAATCTTAAGCTTACATGAAAAGCCTTTATTTAAAAACAGAAAATCCAATTTTATTTCCAAACGTAATCGATCCACCGGGAAAGCTAGAGTACAGAATCGAGCCAAGCCAATAGTTCTCAACAAAAAATACAGGTGAAACAAACGTCGTGAAATTATTTCCCTACAAATAAACTTGTTCGTAATTTACTAGTCAGCACGGATCGTTTCGAACAACCGATCTAGTTACTAGTCAGGTGTTCGAGTTGTTTCCTAGTTTGTATACATCAGGAAACTCAATGCTACGTAATGTGTGTGTTCTAACTATCCGTTTAAACTCTATGAGTCAATTAAAGTCAAGCGGGACTCATCCCGTACTTGTCTCACGTCAGGTATCTGGAAATTAAATTCCAAATCTCTTAGCTAAGCCCGTCTTTAATCCTAGTCGTATATTAATTTGAAAATAGAACTTGCAAAGTATTTGTTCAACATTTCATTATACACTGCATCAAGTACTAACTTTGGAGACTTTCTCGATACAGCGTCATGTATAAACAAATATTATTCATCTAACAAACGTCATGAATGATAGATTCTTGTTGATCTGTGTCACAAGTTCTATACTTGGAATAAAGTCCGCGACACAGTTCCGATAAGTGTCCCGCGGCGCCAGCAATCAACCCCTATGTCTCTCTGATTTCTAAAAACGTAGTCCAAAAATAGTATTTTCAGTTGTGTCGTCGTTGAACCGCGTTCACACACGTTACACCCAGACCCTGAACAATTTTCGCAATGAACAATGAATGTATCCGTGTCAGAGTACAAACACATTACACAGAAACCAGACACCCTGCTTATTGCCCCATTCCGTGCAGTCCAGTCTTAAAACCACAAATATTCGAAATTTCAATCGCTTCTGTCTCTACACTGGTTGGGCGCCGCTCTGCATCCCATTCAGCGCCACTAATTTACTTTTAGACGCCTGATGTCAAATTAATGGCACTGCAGCGATTTTCCACTGTTAAAGCGAACCAATGCAAATACCCGCCATTAAAAAAGTCCCCTAGTTCTAGTTTAGTACAGGATTGGTGTGAAGTTTGTTTATAACTGTTAACGACATCTGCAATATTGCAGATGTAACATGTGGTGGTAGCTTTTCGCGAGTGAGCGGCGTACTGCAGAAAGCGTGGATATAGTCGAAGTGACGTAGTCGCCCCCAAAGTGGTCTAGGTTCTTTGTGCGGGTCGGATCCGCGCTTGAGGGCGAGCTGAACGCAAGAATGCGGCGTGCGTGCGGGCGGTAGCGCGGCAGGAGTGCGGGGCGTGCGGCGCGCTAGGGGGATGCGTCGCGGTGGTGCGGGGCAGCGCGGACGGGCGCGTGCCGCAGTAGCGTGGAGGCGCCGCCGCGGCCGCTCGGCATAGTCGCCACAGCACGGCGTCCAGACGCCGCCCGATGCGAGCGCGGACCATCGTCGCGCAATCGGCTTCGTCGCGCCAACTGTTCCGAAAAGCCAGTTCCAACTTCCCGGTGGTGCGGTTCCCGCGTATTTTATGCTAACAGCAGTCGTGTAGACGATAGTTAAGCGCGTATAAATTGTCGTTCTCGTTACCGCAAAGAGCGAATACAATTTCGGCAAAGTTGAATGAAGTAATTTTTCAAGATCCGAGTTGGGGTGGACAAAGCCGAGCTGCAGAAGCCGGCCGTCATTGTTGCGCTCCTGCCATCCCTCATTACCGAAAACCTTGCTTTCTTAAACTGTTACCATTTCGAATCTTACAGTTTTTCCAAGGTTTGTGACATTGTTTCGCATTTGCGAATTTGAACAGCCGAAATTATTGTGCCAAATATCCAGCGCCAAAGTTATATAAATGGAAATGGTCTCCAAATTACCATGTTCCATGAACATTAGATTACTGTTTGCGGTTGGAAAATGGGTATCAAGTCCCAGTGGATTTATATAGAACAGGGTGACGTGTGTTTTAATTTTTAAGTTTGTACTAAAGGGTATTAAGTAAGGAATCGGATGGGGATCGAAGCCGGTGCTACGTCTCGATGAGACACCATTTATTTAAACAATTTGTTATATTAAATATAGTTTGCGGTAGTATTTGAAATGCCGCCAAGATTTCTGTAGATAGCACCATCTACAAATATCACTAAGCAAAGATAGCCTCCTAACGTCACAATTTAACCTACATTTTAAAATGTCCTTTTTATTGTTGAAATAATTTTAGAGTTTGGTCCGCTCTGGTCGTTATAATACCATGATTGTCGAATTAGAAGAGACAATGTATGTTGGTGAACGCAGAATACAAATGAATAATGTGATTGCTGAAGCATTTAAAGGGATGTGACGAACCTGTTTAATTTGTTTTTTTACATTATAATATCTGCTTTTCCAGCTAATCGTTAATTCAAAGATTGAACCAATATTTTTTGTATGAAGGTTAGCTTTAGAATATTTTAGGCTATGAAAACTGGTGGCACAATGCCTGTACTATTGAAGCCTGGTACCTGCTAAATTATTTTGGATATTGGTGACTGGACTATCCTTTCTTTATTCGAAAGTACGCAACACGGTACACGACGTCTATTTTTGTACATAATTTCATACTAAAACAATATTTTTCTATTGCGAATTTTTTTCTTTTGTGGCTTGTGTTTTTTTTTCATTTCATCATTACGAGTATGATGTTGTAGGTTATAGAAAATGTGGACTTGCTTGAGATTAAATTTGGGGTTTGACTAAAATACAGGCTGTTTAAAAATCCACGTGTGTAAAAGATTTATTTAAACGTGGCTCCTCACTGGTATTTTTCTTGTATATTGGATTCGTTTACAAAACTATGATACTCAAAAACGAAACAACGATTTGTATTTCACACAAAGAGTTGTTTCGTGGTACTGTCAATCCTCGGACATGTTGCACATCAGCTGGTTGCCCAGCCACTGCGCCAACCGTGCAGCAAACTTGGGCATATGATATTTATAACAAACAATATACATAAACACTAATGTTGAAATGTTGAGGTTCAAATTAATTAAAAGTTTACAATAAAATGACTTCCTCATTAGTTTAGACAATAAATGATAAGTAAATTCTGAAAATAACTAGAGAATTACTGTGAAAAGATTATTCTGTAAATAATAAATTTAAGGTGTAGAAAATGTTATTTATTTTTTCTACTTGTAAATTTTGTTATTATTTATTTATTTATTTATTTATAACTTCCACAAAATAGACGAACAGTAGTCGTCTAAATGTTACCTTAAATTAAATTACATTTACATTTATATATGTACTATTTAATAAATCGAAGCATAGTACACTAAATTTTCCTTCAAATGTAGTGAACCTAACCTATTTTGGGAGTCAGTTTCTGATACTACACCTGCCATATTTATGTTAAATTTTTAAATAACTTACAGAGGTCTTACAAAATTCATTACGCTGAAACCATTAACATAACCTTTTTAAACAAAAATTGGTATTTAAACTGACAGCAATCAACTAATTTGATGACTATTGAATTTAACTATTCATGCATTGCATTTGAGAAAACATATTCTAAAAACATGAAACTATTACCAACAAAACATTAACCGTATCGAAGACAATAACAAATTATTGTTACTGGGAAAGCAAATATTATTTTAGGATATTTAAGACAAAACTTGATTGATTGATAATTGCTAAAGTTCTATGTCATACATTTTACATAATAAAAAAATACTCCGAAAATTAAAAAGAGGTAAAATTTGTAAGTTTGTATGTAGGTGGTAATCATTGGAACCGCTGGTCGGATTTCCAAAATTCTTTCACTGATAAATAGCTACAATATTATTGAGTGATATAGGCTATAAAACATCACGCTACGATTAAATGGAGCCAAGCAGCGGATGAAACCGCGCGAGAGTAGCTAGTATACCATAAACTGAGATTGTTTCAAAGAATTTCTTAGAAAGTAAAGGAAAAGAGAAAGTTGTTTGATTTTAAAATCTGGCTACATCTACCATTCTTAAGTAAGAATACATTCTTGGAAAGTATACTTCTGTAAAATATTAAATAAATAAATCATAAGCTGAAAATATTATAAGAAGTTATGTTTACCGATAGATAACATAATACAAAGTCAAGTAAGAAAATATTACAATAAAATAATTGGAAAAACTATAAACTCTATTAACTCAAACACCTTCATAGTTTTAATTAATGTCTAATTCAGTGTCTGTTTCTGTTAATCTAATTCAAAGTCAATCATAATTTGACGTCTTTTCCGTACAAAACATAATCGACTATTGTTCAGCTAAGGGCTGATTTTTCAATGGTTAGATAAAAGTTACCTTGGGAATAATTATGATGCTGTCGCGTCAGAATGTTTGTATAAGACAGTGACAGCAACAATTTTATTCCTCGGATAATATTTATCTGACTATTGAAAAATCGACCCTAAGATAACAATAAAGGTTAATTTAAAAAAAACACATAAAAAGCAACGTATAGAATCTATCATTTCACGCAACAAATGAAAATCGAAAAGCTATGAAGAAAATCTTATTCATAAAACGAAAACTGAACTTTTGAGAGGTCTCAAGACCCGGTACAGTGATGTGCTAACGCTTTAATGAAGGTTAAAGGGGACAATGAATTTTCATAAAATGAATTATCAAGACGATCCTAAATATCTCACAGTCGACAATATTTAGCTCTTGGTAATTGGAAGATTCTATACATTTATTTTAGATACACTTTACATACTAAAAATGTTAAAGACAACTTAAAATATTAATAACTAGCTACTTTCGCGTGGTTTCACCCGCTGGCCAGTTCCATTTGATCGTACAGTGGAGTTTTATAGCCTATAGCATTTGGGAACATTGTAGCTATCTATCAGTGAAAGAATTTCGACAATCCGACCAGCGGTTTCAAAGGTTACCCCCTACATACAAACTTACAAGCTTACAAATTTTACCTCTTTATAATATTAGTATAGAAATATAAAAAATCACCATCTTACTCAACACTAATGAAACATTCTTGATAATTATGAAAAAGTCAAAAGTGTCCCTAACTTCCTATCATGTCTAACAACAACCCAGAAATATAATGTTTTTTTAAAACAAATTTAATGTTTTTTGAGAATGACAAAGTATCATTTATTAACGATCAAACAAAAACAAGAAAGTGTCAAAAACAAATGTGAGAGATTACGTAGTATGTTACTTTGGAGCTTAACCCTTTGTTTTCTTTGCGTACAATATACTGGTTGAAGAAAGCTATAGGTGCTTGTAACGATTCAATGAAAAAAAAACAAAATCCTTTTTTTTATTTAAACTAACTAAATAATACGTAAGTGTGCTCACCTCTGCTTACCCCTTCAGCAAGATATTACAAAAATAAACTTTTATCATATTTTATCAAAGAAACTCGACCATGCAGTTTACAGAAAGCTAGTACCTACCTACAAAGTTTAATATAATATATAACAATATATAAATTTTTTATGTAATATATTGTTTAAATTTATATATATCTATTAATATATTAAATTTTAATATAATATATTATGTTAAATAAAGTTTTATCTTTTGATTGTTACTATATGAAATCATACTGACACGACAATAAATGTTTAAAATTTACACAATGAAAATAAAATTATACTGATTTGTTGACTGCCACACAACCATTGACAAATCAATCTTTAAAATAGGAAAAATTATTTAGGAAATAATGAACCACTTTTCCTTACATCTTTCCTTTCCTCTCTCGGGGATAGAAAACTCATGTATGAATTTTCTTTTCTTGCCCCTCTCGGCAATACAAGTACTCTATAATAAGTATCAAGTAATTGAATTGTCTAAATCAGCATTAGCACTTGTCTAATAAAATATTGACACTGAGCCGTAATTGTAAATATTTAACTCGGTAACGATGCAAAAGAAAGATGGTACTTGAATACCAAAATGATAAAACGTTACGCGGATATTTATACTCAATTGCCGTCTTTGATGAGATAAGAATATCATTATGAATAAAGACCGTATTTCAATTTTTGGCATTCGATGCTTGAGAAAAATAATGAGCCAACTCGTATTTAAAAGGAACCAAATATTGTCTCACATTCAAAATTTATTCTATACTCAAAATAGGCACGTGAAAATTTGCTTGCTTCTTGCATCTATCACAGGGTTGTCTCTGCATCACTTACAGATAGACTGATAGAGAATGCTCAACGCATAAAATCCGCCCAAATTACAATATTGTTGTACATAAATGAAAGAAAAAAAAAACAAAAAAAAATGTAAGAAACAAAACTTACAACTATTAATTACAGTCAGGTGTTATCGAGTACTCCAAAACATAAAAATCTGTTCAAAACGTTAAAACGAGTTAGAGATAAATAAAAAATGTTGCTGTCTAAACTTAGGCATTAATAAAACATTCATTGAACCTTTTACGCCATAAATAACTCGGTTTTTTCACTCGACGTAATATCGATAAGGACGTCACCATTGAGAGACAATATCAATTTATATTACGACGTAAAATAAAATATTGGCTGACGCTTCACAACATCTGCATGGTACAACCCCCATTTTAAAGCCAGTTTCTACTAAAATGATTGCTTAACTCCTTATTATAAATTAAAAAGAAAGGTATTTAATGTAAAAGGTTTTACAAAATCGACATCGCAATCATTATTTCGCTCTTAAATCTGATAATACAGATCTTCTGTGTAAAATCATAAAAAGACCCAAGTAAGGTTCCAATAATAGTCAAAGTTTTTAACGGTCGT